GACCAGCAACTGCTTTTTCCGTAACTTGTGAATAAATGCTGTTTTTCTTGAATTTTCAGTTATCCTTGTGGATGTAGTCTGTCACTACTATAAAGCCTCTCTACTCTGGCTTTTTTATTGATTCTTTCCCTATTGGGCTTTTGTTGTTTTGACTGAATCAACGGAGCAGTGTTCTGTTTCTCATTCATGATTCTTCTGCGACATTAGGTGTTTGATCATTTTTTTTCTCTTCATATCACAGAGACTACTCCTCCTAACTTGTCTGCTCTGACTTCTTTCTTCTACTCTTTCTCCTGTCTTTCAGGCCGTTATCTGCCTTGCCTAGTCTCAGGCACTTTGGGAGACTACTTTTGTGGCTTTAGTTAGCACATCTTTGAAAATAAACCCCAAATGCTAGGTCTCAGCCTTTAGCTGTTGGCCTTATTTCATCAGCTTTCCTTTAACTCTTCCCTCTAATCTCTTACTCGGTTGCAGTCTGTCCTAAAAGGTTTTTTTCTTTTCCTTCCAGATCTTTTGCACCACATCCTCTTGCTTTCCCCGCAGATGATTGCGCTGTCCTTTCCAGTGCCCCAAATTTTATTCTTCTGGTTCTCTTTTTTTGCAGACAGTGCATGTCTGACTTCCACCTCTTACCACTAGGTCTGTATTTTTAGCTTCCAATCCAAAACCTAGATGTGTGCCTGTAACCATGTGCCTCGATATAACCTCCTGGTGCTTCAGCCGCCTTCTCCCTTTCTCCATTCTTTGCTTGATCCATGTTGTCCCCGCAGCCGTTGTGGGGTGCAGAGGATGTGGCTCCGTGGGCCTCGCTGACACCCTGCAGATTCATACAGGCTGAGCACCTGGCCTGTCACCGTGCATCAGCTCATCACTGTCCCTTAGGGTGTCTGTAGCTGTGAAGAATGATAAATGGATGTATGCTGATCTGATTTTAAAGGAATAAGTATCAAATGCTGTTATTCAAAATGCATTTGCAGCCTGTCTCAATGTTAAACACACCAAAACAATAATATGGTTATGGTTACTATTCTTCCTACCATATTACCAGCATGCTGGTCTCGTACGCTCTTGGAGCTCTTACTGCTCACCATTCCTGATCTTCTCAGATTTATGTACAGACTACCCCATTCAAATTCAATTATTAATCTAATAAGTGGTAACAAAACAATAAAGCTAATGTATTTAAACTACATTGTCACATAATAGCTGCGTCTAGGGAACTGGCCCTTGGATACAGGGAGCATCATGGCCTGTAGATGTTTTCTTCTAAATCTCCTTTTTAGAAATGTTTGCAGAAGTCCTTGTTTGTGATTTCCTACTCTCCTGGCTTTAGAGGAGTCATGAAGTATTTCTCATACTAATGAGACAGACTGAACTCTGCAGTTCCTCATAGTATCTGTAGTTTTCACTGACACCTTCACCACTAATCACATATCTGTATTTCACAGAACATTAGTTAACCTAAATATTAAACATAAGTCTCAGAGATTGCATTGTGGCCGCATTAAGGTTTCTGGAGAGCATCCCATTAGGTTCTCAGTGCATCGCAGTCTTAAGATCTAATCAGCATCCCTCTTTGGATTACAAGGAACCCAAAGAGGTTGTTACCCTAATCTGTGTATGATCTTATAATATTTGACTTTCCGTAGCTGCAATCAGCGCCCTGTCAAGCATTCCCATAGCAAAAGTACATTTGCAGAGAAATAAGCCAAGTAATTGACCTGACAGGATGAGCAACCGCTTCCTTTTTAATAGATACTTCGTACACTTAAGGCTGTGATGTGACTTTGTGAGTGAAAAGTTCAAAATGAACCTTTAAATTTTTTTTTTTTTTTTATTCTCACAAGAGAATGTAAGAGGAACAGATTTGGACTGATGCAGAGATGGCAAGTCACTTAAGGTTTTGCTTGTGTTGTAAAATGGGTACTCACAGTTTGATGGTCTGTAAACATCCGTGGGGTCCAGGGCATGAGGTGCACCTTTGTATTTAGCTCTTGGGTGCATGGAGTGTAGATATCTTTCATAAATAAGCGCAATAAAGGATAAATATTTCACAGTGTTGTGTTGGAAAATACTGTTTTTTCAACCTTTTGTTGTTAACATCGTAAATACTATCTTAGCTTAAATTAGTGTCTTTTAAAGCGATGATGCCATTTTGAATTACTGCTGTTTTCATTGTTTCTAAATTTATGGGTTTGTAGTGTGTCACAAAACTTACCTAAATAGTCTTAGAAGCTTTGCTTCTTTTTCTCTGGTAGAATATGGCATAATGCCTCACTTGGTTCCCCAAATAGTTTACATGTTTGAGGCCGGAGACAGCTTTTAGACAGCAAAGGTGAAGGCTGAGATCTCTTCTGTTCTGTAATCTGTGGTTCTGTGGTCTGTGTGGGCAGTGGCGAGATTCAGTTTGATTTGAGTGGTCCCAGGATTTCACCCTGACACTCCAGGCCCAGGTTGCCATTGGGAAGCTGTAACACACAGCTCTTGCATGAATAATTCTTTCTTAAGTGAATGCTGGCAGTGCCTGGGATGGGACTGCTCCCATAAGCAAAGTTTACTTGTGCAGGATATAAGACCTGCTTGCACTAGATCCACTCTGCTGGGACTGAGACTGGTCTTATAACTTCATAATGATTTGGCCTTGCTCTGAGTGACACAATCTATGGGTCAAACTGCCAAAGAGATCCCTGGAAGGATCTCCCATGAGAGGCCTGAATACAGTGGGCTCTGCTGCTTCTGGGATGGATTATTCCTGTGCTGAGCCAGCACCCCAGACTTCATTAGAGTTGTGGGGAGAGGTGGAATCAGCCTTGTCCCCATCTTCATGTACCAATTTGGGTAGCAGTTTGTACTTGTTTATTCCCGTACCTATAGATTTGAATCTTGATTTAGGACACAAAAGGAAGGGAGACTCGTGGCCCCCTTCACCTTTCAGTGAACAGGTTACCTGTGGTTGCAGTACTGTGTCAGCAATAGGATCGCATACGATAAAGTGACTGTTGCTTACAACAATTTCCCTGCCATCTCCCTCAGGAAACAAGCAAGTAATACTATAGCTTCTGCAAAAATACCAAGAGTGATTGTGACAATGTTCTGGAGCTTGATGTTGGTGCCAGTGATGTCACTACATCAGGAGATGTTATAAATAAAATGTGGCAGCTTTTCAGCCTCTCAACTTGTAAAAGGAAAATGTGGATCGAAATCATTCAGCTCAGCCCTGTGTAGGTGGCTTTGCATTCAGTTTACAAGCCATACTCAAACCTTATTCAATCCAAGCCTGAGTGATCTTGAGTTGCTTAAACCAATTTATAATTGATATTTTTTTCTTTAGGGATCTCAGTGTGGCATTAGTCTTTCTTTTTTTCTTTCCTCCCTGTACAGAAACAAGTGTATAAGTGTAAGTATACATGGAGTCATCAGGCAACAGACATATGCTTTCCTGGGCTCTCTGCAGGGCTTGGAGGTTCAAACACAACCTGCCTGAATCATAAGAACTTTAATTGAGTAGATAAAGAGGTCCTCATAATTATAAACTGCAGTAGGTATAACAAGAGGCTAAATACATAGCTGTGGTTTTAATTAGCTGGTGCTTCAAATTAGTAATTGTGGTTTCACTCAGAAATCAGTGACTTTATACACTGTTAAAGCCTCATCACTGTGCAGTTCATTCCTCATTATATCTCTCGGTGTGAAGCTTTCAATACAACATCATGCTGAGCTAAAAAGGCAAAAGTTGTAGATATTTGGTTATCTTCCAAGTGCAGTGGAGCTCTGTGGAGATTTAATTCATTCTTGCCAGATATAGGAGAATTAACTGTTCTTTGTTACATATGTAATATGTGTGTTTGATTGGATGTGTTTGCACGGAGAGGGTGTGCATGGATGTGTGCATGCATGTCCAGAATCTGTCAGGGAAATACTGCACAGCAGATAACATCATCAGTGCATACACTGAATCTGCTATTCAAATTGTTGTCTGGAATTTGGTAGCTAATTAACTGAGACAAAGCAGAGCCAAAAGCCTCATAACGGATCAAGTATGAGTTGAAAACACAGAAGTGTCCCTTGCAGCCTCTCATGTGACAAGCATTCAGTGCAAGTTGGAGCATGCATCTTTTATTTTACCCTTTCCTTTCCTATTTTTTCCCCCTCCTTCAGGGTTTTAATTATATCTTTTCCCTCAGAGGAGCAGGAGGTAGTTTGCAAAGCCAAAAGACCAAAGTACTTCAGTGCTGTTTTCAGGGGAGAAGGAAATGTGGTCTCTCAGCTTGTCATCTAGGTCTGGCAGGTGCACAAAGTAAGCTGACATACAGATAAGTGCCACTCACCTCTCTTACACAGAGGCACTAGATCCTTTTCTGTTTGTTTTTATGTAGAATTATCTGATACTGGAATCCACTATCCTAAAGTCTCTGCTGGGAGCCTGCTACAAAACCACTTTTTAAAACCCCCCTTGACACCCTCAATGAAGGCATACATAAAGTTTAATCAGTACATGGGACAGAATTCGGTGGTCTAAATTACACAAGGCTGAACGGGAGCATTGGAATGGTTGGAGACAAGTGTTACACAGTTAAATGGATTTGAAGATGTTGCTGTGCTTCATTGACTTCACATTTGCTTTCTCTGCACAGACACATTCTTTGTGGGCACACGTGCGTGCATTTGTGTGCGCGCATGTCTTTTATAGACTGTTCATACAAATGCATCAAAGTTTATTTTGTTCTTCTGCATAATGCTCTGCTAATTTGAAAAGATAATTTTTTGTCTGGCTTCATTTTAGGAGTGTACTGACTGTCCAACTGCCTAGTTTCACATAGTATTATGATTCCAAATTTATATTTGTGAAAACTATTCCGTGGCTGCTTCTTTATTTCAGAATTGTCCTCAGGAGTTGCATTGTTCCTGATGTTTTGCTGCTTTTACTGATAGTAATGAACATGTAACTAAATTATGGGGAAAATAATATGTTGTCTTTTTTTTGTCTTTTTCTTCTTCAGTCACTATGAGCAAGACCGGAGTGCACTTAAGCGGAAAGAATGGGAGAGAAGAAACCAGGAAGTCCAGCAAGATGAAGATCTCTTTGCTTCAGGTTTTAACCTCTTTGGGGAACCCTACAAGGTAAATTGCGTTGATTACACTTTGCATTTTCAAAATGTCTTTTACCCGAATGCATTTTACAAATACAAATGAACCTTGTCTTCACCTGTAAGAACTGGAAGTATTGCATCTGCCTAGGTACTTGTACTTTGGAATACATCGATTTTCCAAATCAGCATACGGCAACAGAGCAAACTGATTGCTCTGCCCAGTGTGGCAAATTAGCATTGACAGAGTCAGGAATTTTGGTCCCAGTCCAGTTCAAGATTCCTTAGTCTAAACATACAGCAAAGTCCTGCAATAGAACTACATGCAGCCAATATCTCTATGAGCGGGTTTGTGCCTACAGAACTAGAACTTAATCTTTTTATTTTTAAGAAGAAAATATACCTGGGTTGTTAAAACCAATGTCCTCTCTATAGATAATGAGTCCATAAGCTTTCTTGTGCAATCATAATCATCCAAAGAAGTCTTGTGGGAGACTGTCTGAATCTCTGGGGAGCATAACAAGGGTATGAAAGGGACTTGTGACAAGTCTTATCCTCTCTAAGGAGCTTTGCTGCCTGAGATTTTCATCTCCAAGGGATGTCCCACTTTATGATTTCTGCTGCTTTGATTTTTCAGTAACACATTCCCTGAAGAATTTATCAGAATGTAAATTTCTATATCTCTTTCTCCTCCCTATCAGTGACATCCATTGAAAGGCCACCACTTCATCTTTCCTTTTTACATTGTTGGCAGCTGTAGGGAGGATGAAGATTCTTTGAAAATTATGTGAGAAGGAGGAGGAAAGACTGGCATTATTATCAAATGGTATCTAATAACTATAGACTGGGAGAGTGTGATGGGTACGCTTGACTCCTAGCTGTACTTTGTTTCAGACTGGCTAAGAAGCAACAAACCTCACATCCTTGGGGTGAACTTGTGAGCTGGGAAGTCCCTGGCTTACATACAAGGGAGTGAAGGTGTCTTGAAAATATTTCAAGTGGTGATTTCAAAACCTAAAAGTGCGAGATAACCAAAGTACAGAACAAGATATCAGAGCTAAACAAAAGACATCTATCTTGTCTGTGCTATTGACTAGCAGCCAACTACATCACTCTATAAATATTACTGTCAAGATGGGCCCAATCTGAGCTCTCCCTGACTTGCAGCTGGACTACATGGCAGGTAGCTCTCCCCTTGAGCAGGGACACCTCTCAAGGGCAGAAATTCCTTACCTGAGACTAAGAGAACCTTCCTTACCCAAGACTGAGAGATTCCGTACCCGTGACAGATCCTTGGTGAGTGAGTGACAGTGTGCTGACTTCATAATATGAAACATTACTAATCCGTGTAGCTCCTCAATATTATTATAAGTATTGTATGGCTAATTCCAGTGGACATGAGCCGTTGACTAAGTCTGAGACTAAGATTGGATCCAGCCTTGCCTAGGCTCCAGAAGGAGTTTAGAAAGAGAGGGAGTCCACTCTGAATCTTATGACTCAACAAGAAGGAAGGTCCTCCTTACTCTTCATCTCTCTGGTGTGAATCATTCTACTTGGTTCTAACTCAGTTTTCCTCCATGTGTTTCTTGCCTGCAATAATTAGTGAGGTGAGCCTTGCCATCAAACTTATTGAACCTTGTCAAACCACTGTTAAGCTGCATTAAATTCCATCAAACTTACTGAACTCTGTCAAATTATTATTTGACCTTGGTAAAACATACTGCTGCATTTTTCTTTTGAGTGAGGTACATTCTACTCATCCATGACAGACTTATTCAGCCAAATGTGGACAACACACTAGGATGATCTATTTGTAGGATCTTTTTGTTTTGTTTTAATGAAATCTAATCAATGAGCTATTTCTGCATTGGACCATGTTGTAGCACCTTTATTTATGGGAGTGGTACCTCACCATGAACTGATTTTCCTGGGACTTCCTGCAGATCATGAAAACTTTTTTGTTCATGTAAGTGGTCGTTCGGATTCCAATAGGGAGACCAATATGCACATCACTGCAAAATTTTGTATCGGGAACTAAAGACATGCCCCCTAGTATGTATTGTACATAAGAATAATAATATCTGATTTTATAACTGTTTAGTGTGTATTTGAACCAAGCATATGCAGAACACCTGTTTTGTCAAAAACTGCGCAACGGAGGAAATGTTTTTAATTACGTTTCACCTGCTTGGCAGAGACATTTGTCATATCTGTGGGATTGAGCAAAACATCACTTATTACTATCCTAAAAAAGCATTGTAAATTGTGAAAGATAAAAATTAAGAGGAAGTTGGTTGCAACAGTAATTATGTCTGTCCTAAATTTGCAAGCCAAAGCAGGAACCAAGACTGGATAGGAAAGCTACGTCTTGCGTATGCTATGGGGGAATGAAAAAGGACCAAGAATAAAAAAGGACCTTTGTAAGTTTGGCATTGCTGAGAACCAGCCGCAGTACAACTTCCTAGGAACTAATGAAAGATGGATCTAACTCTCAGTGGATTTGTAGTGACTTGTATTCTTAAGCAAGTGCAAAACTACATTCAGGCTTTTCTTTATGTTTATTCTAAAATGAAGAGGCTGTGAGGTGAGAACAAATGTGCTACATGTTCAGTTTGAATTCCTTTTCCACAGATGTTTCTTGTGAATGAGACTCAAGCTCCCCCATCTTGTCTCTTCTGGTTGCTCCCAGTGGGAGCAGAAGGAGCTAAAACACTGCCCAGCAAAGGCAACTGTTGTGGCCTGGGATGGGCATGAGGTCCACACTCTCACCTGGGCTACCTCTGCTAGTGAGCATCAGCTCAAGGGGTGGCTGGTAGGTTTCTGAAAGATCCGGGGGTGTAAGGTAAGATGGAGACAGCAGTGACAAAGGGAAGGTTGAGAATGTCATGTCTTAGGAAATAGAAACCTTTTCTTTTATTCCCAGGCTCCGTGTCCTTACTTGTTTATCATTCCTTCCTCGTTTGCTTCAACAGTAACCCGGAGAAGGGAGTGGTGAGGTAGGGAATACCGCCATGGCTGTTTTGGTGTTTTAAAGACTGGACAGCTGGCAGCTGGTTTAAGATCTCTCTAAGGTTGAGGATAATAAAACTCGGCCAAAGAAGGCAGCCCAAATTTTCTCATGGACCTTACTTACTGCCGTTGTGCATCACAAGATGTGTGGACTATCTGCCTCTATGGTCTCTTTGCTCTAGCTGTTAGAGCAGCTTTCTTATCACCCTGTCATATAGAATGTAGGCGATCATTGCATGTTTCTGCATTCTTTGTACTATATGTTTGTATACACAGACGTGAAAAGAGTTGCTTATTTCTGTTGGGTGTATAAAAAACATTTGTACATGCTTATTAAAGGATAAATGTGTTGATTTGAAGCTCTGCTCTGTCATGGGGAAGTAATACCTTTGGCAGTGTGATGACATCAGCGTTATTTTGGGAAGATTGGGCAGTGAGAGTTGTGTGGCCCTTTCATGTGTGTGGGTTGCAGGTTTTGCCTTTGCACTGTGGTGCCACTTGCTAATGCTTGATTTTGCAGAAGTGATCAGGGAACAGCCTGCAGTGCTATGACAACACACATTTGAAAAAGCAATGTCACAGTTTTCCGGAGAGAGGCTGCAATTTTACTACTCAATTATTGATACTTTTAATGTTTTGAATTAGTAAAGAGTTTCAGAGATGAGTATTTTAGATAATATAGCAGTATTTTAGCTTTTTTTCAAACGAATTGCCGCAGAAGAGTTCAGCTTGAGAAGGAGAACCCAATGGGCAGCATTCCCTTTGGGGGACCTTGGGTGACTGTTAAATCATTTATCTTTTTGAGGTAAAACCACACCACGCTATTCAAGCTTAGCATAAAGAAGATCTCAGCTTCTAATCCGTGGAGGTTGATTTAACTACGAGGTATGAGAAGGTGAATGAATTCTGAAACCTCAAGTTTCATGCAAATTTTCACAAAACACTTGTAAATTGATCCTGTAAGTTTGAGTGCATTAGTTCTTCTCTTTGTAAAATTATAATGCAATAGTGAGCTGGCAAATTAGTCTTCCAATAGAATTCTATTACAGATCTTTTTTGAAAGCAGTAGAAGAAAATGCAAGAAGGTGTACGTTTCCTAAATTAAAAAGAGCCTAAAATGAGGGGGAAGGCTACTGGCCGTGAGTCACAAACAAGACATACAATTTATGCCCTGGAATACTCACAAACTGCTGTATTTCCTTGATAGCAGCAAAATTGTGATTCAGCATGCTGTTCAGAAAATAAGATGTACAGAGTTTTTCTTCAAGAAATCAGCCAATTATCCAGAATATTGAGGTAGAAATTATCCTCAGTCTGTAGTAACAAAGAGCAACCAGAAATTATGACTGGATTTTGTGTCTGTCTTGCTGGTATCCAGGCTTGTCAAGAATACTTTTCTCATGAGAGCCCTGAATTTGTTGAGGAAATAAAATAAAAACATTAATGTTATGCTTTGTGTCTTAAATGCAGGTAGGACACTGCGCTGCACACCTGAGCTCGTTCAGGTTGTGATGCACAAGTCTCAGATGTGTGTGCTCTCATTTTACTTAAGCATGAACCAAATTACCACTCACATTTGCTGTGTGGTTTTTGCTTTGCAATTGGTCCAAAGGCCATTGAAGAGAGCAATAATCTTTCCATTGGCTTCAATAACTATTGGATGTGAGCATTAGTGCACTTCAAGTATGCTAAGGATGTTTAAATTAATTTAATCTCCGTGCTTCTCAGGAAATATAATTTTTATTAATGCTCCCACTAAATGACAACAAATAATAATACCTAACACTTAGACAGTATCTTTTGGCTCCAGGATGGGAAATGTTCTGCATAAAACAGAGTTAATATTAAGCAAAGTTATATTTATTGTTATGTGACGTGCACAAGAATATAAGTTGAGAGATTCGGATACCTCCAACACAGAAATGATTGAAAAGCTCTGCATTCAAATTAAAACATTGATTTCCTCTGTGAGGATCTAGACAAGAGCCATTTAATGTGCTGTGACGTACAAGTGTTACAGTGATGGTATGTTGTCAGTACTTTTTTTTTTTTCCCAAAAGACTTTTACTTTATGGAAGGTAACCTAAATGCACCCTGGAAGTGTAGCTGAACCACAGGTGAAGGTTGGTGATCAGGCTTTTTTGATACTTGGTTGTTTCCCATGTAACTCCCATAAGGAGTTAAAGCGTTTGGGAAAGGAGGAAGCAGAACAAGTATGTAAGTGTTTAGACTTCGCATCATAATTCCTGACAATGGAATCTCCTTGTTTTAAATTTGGGGGTTGAACAGAGAGAGCCTGGTTTTGGCTGCTGCCCAAACAGTTCATTGTGCAACTCGGTAGAAGGAGACTGCTTATATACAAAGAGCTTATTCTTGGCTTAGCTGGAATATAATTTTTGCCACTAAAATGACCAACCTAGGGACTTACTTAGTGAATAAAAGTGATCCGTGCCTCTCCACAACTGGGATTATTAACTCTGCCAGTTAGAAGCGCTGGCAAAACGTATATAGATGAGAACAACATTGAACAGTTAATTTTTAAATCACTGCCTCAGTGCAGTGGTAATGTATGTTACAATCCCTGAGAATGAGCAAAAGGAAATTTGCATTTATTATCTTCGTTTTCAACATTTTGTATGGTATATGCAGCACTAAGGAAAAAAAAAGATCTTTCTGCAATATTCTTCTCATCTCCTGACTAGTTCAGCAGTGTGTAATATAAGAAGATATTTCGGGAGAAATCCATGCATGGGTTTTTTTTTTCGTCGCTCAAACTTCTGCTTAATACTTGAGGAAAATGGGATCAATGAGGTGGCAGGATCCCTCGTCAAGGAATGAAGCGTGACACTCTCTAACCAAGCACAAGCTCATAGTTCTGCCTTATCCTGTCTTTCTGGCCTGATGTTACTTTGGACTGTGGCAATACTTGCTTTACTGAGTGAAAAAACCCCACCAAATGTACGTAAAGGTGTATTTGGCCGTATCCTGAAGTATCTTGCAAACACTGCAACTTTGTCATTTAATTTCAGACTGTGGAAGTTAAGCATTTGCTTGAACAAGAACTGTAGCCTTGCTTTGTTTTTATCCTTTTGAGTCTTGTAAAGTAGTAAGCATGGCGGATAAGATGGTTTAGTTTTTCTGCTGGTCATGTCGATGAAACACAGAGGTCAGTAAGAAGGCAGGTACTTTGTGTCTCCGTGGGGTGAGTTAGACCAGCAAGAGAGAGGAACTTTGCTGTGTATTAATTATAGCTTCCAGCTTATTTGTCTAGCTTGTTGCAAGTGAAAGGGAAAAGGAAAAAAAACAACCAAAAAAAGCCCTTTTCATGCTTCAAAAGGAGAAGTATAACACTGAAACACAGATGAGTCAGTATGTATTTAATAATTACTGGAAATCAAAGAAAAATGTGATTCACAAACGCAACCAGCCTCCAGACAGCGGAAGAATCCCAGTAGTTAAGAACATGGCAGTCATATCTATTTATGTTCTCTAAGAAAATATTTTTGAATGATCTTTTATTTGAAGCTGCTGTAACATTTGAGTGAGTTGAAGCTTTTTATTTTCTGGATTCAGATGGTAGATACCTCAGGTCAGACTGAACCCTCTGTAGAAAAGTAATTGGACTAACATTGGAGTGAAGAGTTTGGCACTAGGTGGTTATTACAAACTGCCCAGGTTCTAATTTATGGTGGGACTGTGGGTCAAGGGGCTGATAGAGCAATAACATACTTAAATAAACTGTGTGATTGCAATTCAAATGCTCAGTAGCCAGTAATTGCATGTTCGTGTTTTGCACGATATGAAATGTACAACCCCAATGTCTCTGACATAAAACTGGCTCCTAACATCCATAACTGATGCAATTTAAACAGTTCTCTGAGAGCATATTTAAGAAAATGGGAAGCAGTATACAAGCGTTACTCACGCAAGCCTGTTTCAAGAGATGCTTTGAACACAGTTATTGATAGGCTTTTCTTACATAACATATGCAAAATGTAATTGAAATTAAATTAAATGTCAGCATGACACCATTAAACAGCTAACATTTGCCATCTTCTAAGACAACTATTCTGAGTAGTAACTTCCTAATCAGGAATTTTCTCACTCTTCCGTTCTTTATTTTTTAATATTTTAGACAAATAAAGGCGATGCCCTTGCAAACCGTGTCCAGAACACACTGGGAAATTACGATGAGATGAAGGATCTGTTAACCAACCATTCCAACCAGAGCCACCTTGTAGGAATCCCAAAGAATTCTGTCCCGCAGACACCCATCGACAAAAATGAACAGAACTTTTTCCCTGAACCAAGAAACAGGATGATCCCATCTCATCAGATCAGTGGCCACTCATCGACATCAATGCCTCCGCCTTCTTCATTGTCATCTAATTCGGCTTTGCTACACGGTCACCAGAGCAGCAGGAAGTCGAGGACAGACTGGTCACGTGGCGGTCACAACGCTAGCGGGGCCCAGCCAAGCCAGTCGAGTAGTCAGCAAAGTCGGACAAAGCATAGCTCTTCTCATGACCAGCCACAGGGCAGGTATGAAGACCTCTATAACTGTCAGAGTGAGCAGCATAAAAGTGGAGGAACTGAGGAAGCAAATTCTATGGCAGCATCTTCGCATTCGAGGAGGCATGCTCATTCCAAGTCAGCACCTGGAGAACATACTTACAAAGAAAACAGTCATTCGAAGTCACCCACAGAGCTTGAATTTGTCAGTCATGGTCCTGGATCTCCCCTTCCTTCCACTTCTTTGTTATCTGCAAACAATGGTCTCACGACCCAGAATTTCCCACCAGGACTTCACTGTAAAAACAGCATGGTCCAGCAAAAGCCTACCGCCTACGTCAGGCCTATGGATGGTCAGGACCAGGTACCCAATGACTCGCCTGAACTCAAACCACCGGTAGAAATTGAGAGTGGATATGGAAACCAGTCCTTTGGAACCCTGCTGGAAGGAAAAGTGAACACTCCTAGTTCGAAGAACAAAGTACCAAAGCTCAACATTCCTCCTGTTAGTGAAGTAAGTAGTTTAAAATATCTTCTCTCTACTACCACTTGTGTATTTAATGCACTGAATATTTTTCTCTAGAAATATGCAGTTCCATTTCCTGGAATCGCAGTCTAAAACATCCCTTTTTTTCTAGGATGTGCATGACTACTTTGGCAAAGTTTGTTGTTGTAGTCCCAGTAGCAATATTTAATGAAGTTTTACAAGCACAGTTTGGAATACTAACACTGCTTATTTCCGATTAATATTAAAAGGCTATATCGCTGTTGAGTGTAATATATTTATAACAGCTAGAATTCTGGACAGAAGACTCCAATGTCTCAGTTCATCTGCAGTTTTCACTCTTGCATTTGCAGTTAGGAGCTAGTTTGATAGAAAGATTGCCAGTTTAGACTCTGAGGAGAAGTGGCAGTGTTCACATTTCAGTGGTACTAAGTAGTTCTATCAGGACAGAGTTTATTTGCAGAGTTCACTGAATTCCTCTTGCCTTTAATGGAATTAGTGTGGCTTAAGTTCGGGGTAACGCTTATGAAAATGTGTCCCATTAAAGCTTTTATGCATTTGGAAGAGCTCTTCACATTGGGATCCAGTCCCAATCTCTGCTACCAACAGTTTAAGCTGTTGAATTTTGTATTGCTGGTCAGTACAGTGGTCCTGTGAGGAACATTTTAGCTGGTTCATATTCGTGTCTGCTCCAAGCACAGATGTATAATAAGGGTACCAGTTGAGCTATTTATACTCTCTATACTTTTTCTCTTATTCTGAGTTTCTCTAAAGCACTAACCTTTGCAAGGTATGTTTATAGCGTGCGTATGAGCAGAATTGCAATATGGGGTTTTCAGAGCTTTCTTTCCCCAGAATATTTCCCTGCTTGGTAATATTTTTATGCTAGGAATAAGGAGCGATGCATTCTTAAACCACTTTATTGCAAAAGGTCAGCTTTTTCTATTGGAATAATTGTTTCAAGCCAATAATTTGTTTGACTATTTAAAAACTTGATGTTATTTATTAACATTCCAGGCAGCAACAAAGACTGATGTGTTTTGCAGTAGAGCTTGGAATAATTTTCTGGGAACTGCATCTGAAAACAGTAAAAGGCCTATTTATATCAAGTGGAAGCTGAGGGTTGCTTGCAGATGGTGTTTTATTAGAAAATGTATTTGTTAATAAACGTAGCTTTGTACAAGATTACTTTACAGATGTTTCTGTTTATTTTTACCTTAGGTTAAAAATCTGCTGATGTAGATGGCTTCATAGTCTGTTGCGATTTGTTGCTAGCATTGTTTGGCAAGTAAATAATTGCATGGGAAGGAAATAATGATGTTGCAAAAGCAAATACGTTTTTTTTCACTTTTGCCATCTATTAACACTGTGAGTCAATAGAGGCACTTTAAAGTGCAGCATTTATACAAAGTGGTTTTGGAAACAGAATGTACCTTTTGCAACTTGTATCAGCTATTAAAAATGCATTTTTCCTTTCTTTAATTTGTGACAGAAATCCTGGCACTGTTGAAGTCAATTGAGTTGTTAAAATCTTTTTTGGGACGCAGGATTTCACCCACAGTCTTTTTGCTTTAAGAACCGCTGATGTGAACTGTTGTTTTTGGAAAGATTCCTAGTCACACAGATGAAAAATTACGTTGTGGATTTGTTGCTATAGTTGCTTTAGTTTATATCCTGTGTAGTGAAAAAGTATAGGTGTGTAATTAATTTCATTTATGATCAGATAAATGGTAAACTCTCGGCAATCTAGAAATGAGTGCAGATAATAATCTTAAAACAGTCTTATTGTAAGAGCGAGCAATAATTTGAAGAGGGGAAGAAACTCCAAAGCTGTGTTAACGTGGTGAATAACTTTCCTTTCTGATACCGAGCATATGACAGTAGCCAGACTGACGGATCTTTTACAGGCAAACCTCCTTCTGAGTTTGGAGGGTTGGGTTTTTATTTTTTTTTTATTTTTTTTTGCCTATGTAAGTCCTGTGAACTTTGGCCCTCTGTGTTTTTCCACAGATGTGTATCCTGAATTTGATTTACCCTGCGTTCAGCAATAAAACTCCTTCCAATCCAAGGTTATAGATAACTGGTTTAGTTTAAGCTTAATCGGAACTGACAGTGCACACCTGTGAAACCCATAACCTTTTCAGAATGACTGCAGCGAGTGGCTCTGTTGTAATCTTTAAACAATTGATGTGGAGGCTTATGATCCTTCGGTGGTGCTTATCAATTTATGAACCTTCCCAAGCCACCTCGAGCCATAGTGATCTGCTTGAAACTATTTTGCTCTCACTCCATGGGTTTCTGTCCTAGCCCTGTTCCAGATGGTGGTGGTGATCTTTGTCAAACTAGCAGCAGGGGAGTTACTTTTGGGGAGCATTTCTCTGTAATTCGTTCTGTGGCTCTCCTGTATCTTTGAATCCATTTTTCAAGTTGGTGTTATGCGTAGAGATTGCACATCGAAGGTTTTTCAGTGATTTCCCTCAAAATTTTGCATACTCTTAAGATGAGGGGTTCTGTGAAGAAATAAAATTCCTAGGTGATGGTCCTGCAATAATGACATCTATTAAGACCTGCAAAGTTGGGGAAAAAAGGACAGGTTTCGCTGTCTTAGGGAGAGGAGGAAAAGTAACCAAATATTTGAACAAACAGATTTAAAAGATCAGACCAATGTGGAAATATGGTCTCATTTGTCATGGCTTAATGGAATAGGATGTTGAGTGCCCTGGAAGCGTTCTGCCATGTGTAAGGAAGTGATCAATTTTATAACATAATTTGTGTCACTTGAGGTGTTGCTCTAAGAATCTTTGCTCGTTTGCTGGGCCCAATTCTGCCCGCAGAGATGCCCATCCATCTTTCAGCTCCTCTGGAGTGGACAACATTGTTAATGCCTTGCTGCTGGCATGTCTCCACTGTGCAATGGATTGTGGTTTAGGGATTTTTTTTGTAGTGAGTAAGTTCACACACGCGTACCAGACTGGGTTAGGATGCAGTCTTAGCAACACTTACGCACCTGTGGACTAATCCTTGCCTCTGAGTGGAGCCCGCTGTGTGATTTCCAGACCTTGACTCACCCACGCAGAGCTAGTTCAGACGTGTCTGCGCCCTGTGTGACCATTTCTGGTAAAGAAATAGGAACAGCAGAGCCTCTGAAGGCTTTTAGTTATGTCCTGTAAGGACTGCTTCATGATTTTGTAATCTTGTAATTTTTATTTTATTACCTTTCTCCTTCATTTTACTTATCAATATTGTTTTCTAACGATGAAGGTGAAACATTTTATGGTTTTGGTGCCTTGAGCAAAACCTGGTGTAACCACTTGCAGCCAGGCTTGCCGGCCTCTGAAATTCAGAAATTGTGAAGCAGAGCTTCAGAGCTGGGAGGGCATGCGACCATCGTGTCACTTCAGGGGGACATGCAGAAAGGCACCGGGTATCGTGACATAGAATTAAAAACAATGGCCCTGCAGCTAAAACTGACAGAAGAATTGGTGGAAAGCCTCAACCTCTAAACAGTATTTCCTGTTCCGTTCTTACGAACTCTCATTTCTCTAGTCTGTGTCTACCTACATGCTTACGTAGGTATAGCAATATAGATTAATTTTGAGCTCGCATTTAACATTTGGTAAATTGTGGCAAGCTTGGGACACCGCAGAGAGTTTTTGCATTATGTAGAATTGCACCTACTTAAATTGTATGATGGCAGGTGATTGTTACTGCTTAAGAGAACTGCACAGTTAAATCCTGTGCGTTTTTTTCAAAAAAGTGAGGGTTAAAGACCACAATAGCAGCTAATCCTCTCTCTGCTGCATTAAAATCCAAGATCTTAATACCTGTATGTATATTTAAGCTTCTAGGAATCAGATGCTTACAAATTATTTCTAATCGACTAACTCATCAGGAGATAGCTGAAGAAAAAGCTTTTCAGATTGGGCTCAAACACAAATTACTGAGAGTACTGAATAAAGCAAAGGCTTTTAGGGTCTGTAGGAGCATCAGACAATGCGTTCCTGGAAAAATCTTATGTGTGTTTCTCCAGAACAATGCATGGATTTCCAATAAATGTTTAGGGATGGGAAATCAAGGGCAATTGAGATAATGTTTGATTCTCAAGGCAGAGTTTTTAAATCTTACTGCAAAATTGGCCTCACGTTCCTACAAAGTAGCAAGTGCTCGTGTATGAAATTTTCCACCAAAATTACAAAGCTAGGAACAAATCCAAGAGGCCTACGACATCTATGTCACCACCCACTTAAGTAATAAAAAATTGAGAACTTCTATTTTCACTTTACTTCTAGGAAAATATTTTGACGGGTTCAGTATACTGCAAAGTGATAAGCTTCTGTTACGTGTTTCGAATCATTCTGTTATCGCTGCGTGTATTGATTAGCTTAGTACTTTCTGAGCTAGCTATAAAAAAAAGGCTGCTCGCTTTCTGCATTAAAGAGCAAGAAAAATTGACAGGTAGATAACCGTATTGATTGAACCTAAATAGTAAATGCAAGAGCCTTATATATGACTTATAAAACTCTTTATAGGAACCAAAGCCAGTTTAATATATATTTTTTTAATTAAATGAAAAATAGATATCTTTAATTAACCACTCCTACACATTTTTGATATATGTGCTACTCTAATTGACAGCTCTAGTACGTTGCCATAGCTGTGGACAAATCATTTTATTCAGATGCAAGCTTTAGCTGTCCCCCAGACTTTGAGCTTGGAAGAAGAATGGACTGAATCACGCATTAAGCTCAAATCCCTTTGCTTGGTTCATGTTTCAAAAGTCTGAGGCCAAAAGCAAACCCAAAGAGCAGTATTTCTTGCAGTATTGCAGGTTACAGCCATATGTTTTCCATTTGTAAATACTGTGAGAAGTAATGTTCTTGTGATACTTCTAAATGAAGACCATATGACAGCACTCGACTGAAGACCTCTTACTGTGGCCTTTCTGAGGCTACTGTCCGATTGCTCGGACAAAAAAAAGCTACTTTGCAGGGATAGCAAGAGGACAGCTT